GGTTCCCAGTATAAGAGAAAGGAAAAGAGGCCCAACTATACAAAGGCCCAATAGAACAGAAATAAAAACTATCCTGGGTTTATGTCCAATAATTTCTTTAGCCTATCACCCCCCACCCCCCCAAGCTGGAGGGTGAGTGCACACCCAGCTTGCACAAGAGCTTATGATGGGGAACACCTGTCAAAGCTTTGGTCAGAACATCAGCAAGTTGATCAGCAGAAGATACATGTTCAAGAACAATAAGCCCAGAAGAAAGCACATCTCTCACATAGTGACAGTCCACCTCAATGTGTTTGGTTCTTTCATGAAAAACAGGATTTCTAGCAATGTGGAGGGCAGCCTGACTATCACAAAAAATAGGGACAGGAGCAGTAATAGACAGCCCCATGTCAGCCAACAGCCTTGTAAGCCAAACCACCTCAGTAACAACCTTCCTTAAAGCTCTATATTCTGCTTCAACAGAACAAAAAGAGACAGTAGGTTGTTTCTTAGATTTCGAGGAAATAGGTGAATCACCAATAATCACATAATACCCAGTCACAGATCTTCTGGAAATGGCGCAAGCAGCCCAGTCAGAATCTGCATAAGCCTTTAAGGAGAAATCAGGGGCAACACTCAGCAGAATGCCTTGGGTAGGATTATTGAGGAGGTATTTGAGAACATGTAAACCAGCCAGCATATGAGGAACTCTAGGAGACACAAGAAATTGACTGAGATGTTGCATTGAATAAGGTATGTTGAAGGAAATTCAGTTTGCCAATTAATCTTCTATAGACAGTAGGATCAGGAAGAGCTTCCCCTGAGTTAACAGATAATTTGACATGAGGATCAAGGGGTGTGAGAGCAGGTCTGACCTCTGAAAAATGGAATTCAGATAGGAGCTCCTTTGTGTACTTCTGCTGGTTGATAAGAAACCCTTGTTCCACCTTAGAAATCTCAAGGCCCAAAAAATAATGGACACTCCCAAGGTCTTTGATCTTGAATTGATGATCAAGGAAGGACTTCAGGCTTAACATTTCAGCATCATCATTGCCATCCAAAAGAAGATCATCCACATAAACAGCAAGAAGGACAATAGAAGTTGGAGTCACTTTAGTAAAAAGAGAGGAGTCATTCTTACTAGGAGAGTAACCTCTTGAAACAAGAGACTCTGAAAGCTTTGCAAACCATTGCCTAGAAGCTTGTTTTAGCCCATAAAGTGATTTCTTCAATTTACAAACTAAAGGAACATCAAAAGAGGTGGATGCAACAGACAGACCTAAAGGGATCTTCATGTAAACTTCTTCATTAAGATCACCATGGAGAAAGGCATTGTTGACATCCATTTGGTGTACATTCCAATTGTGTTTAATAGCAAGGGTAAGGAGGCATTTGATTGTTGTGATCTTAACAACAAGGCTGAAAGTTTCAAAATAATCAATGCCCTCCTTTTGAGAATCACCCCTAATTACTAATCTAGCCTTATACCTTTCAATGGAACCATCAAACTTTTGTTTGATTTTGTACACCCATTTACAAGGGATTGCCTTTTTCCCAGGTGGAAGAGGCACAATGTCCCATGTGGAGTTAGCATTAAGGCCTGAAATTCCCTTTCCATGGCTTCCTGCCAGGCAGGATGTGGTGCAGCTTGCTGATAGTATCGAGGTTCAGAGGGTAAAAAGGCAGGGAGTTGAACAGAAGAACAAATATAGTCCTTGAGATAGGTTGGAGCATGGGAAACCCTAGTGGACTTCCTAAGGGGGAGAGGTTGTGCAGTAGGAATGAGTGGAGGAGAGGAAGGATGAGAAGAAGACTGATTTAAGGAGTGAGGTGATGACTGACTGAGGAGGTGAGAGGACTGAATGGGAGAATGAGGAGGAGCAAAAGAGAGAGGAGAATAAGAAGAAGCCTGAGAGTCCACAAAAGGATTAGAAATGGCAGGGAACCCAAAAGGAGGTGAGGATGAGTGGTAAGGGAAAATGTGTTCATGGAAAACCACATCCCTAGAGTAGAAAATGGAATGATTGGCTAAATCCAATAGCTTGTAACCTTTTTTTCCTAAAGGGTACCCCAGAAAAAGAGAAGGGGAGGCTCTTGGCTGAAGTTTATCTCTTTTGACCTTTGGTATAGTTGCAAAACATAGAGAGCCAAAGGTTCTTAGATGAGTATAAGTGGGTGGATGGCCATGTAGTTTGTGATAAGGGGAGAGATTTTGGAGGACGGTGGAAGGAAACCTATTAATGAGATAGGTAGCTGTGAGCACACAGTCACCCCAATACTTAATTGGAAGCTTGGATTGAAATAGTAATGCTTTAGAAGTTTCCAGAAGATGCTTATGCTTTCTCTCAACCACACCATTTTGTTGAGGAATATGGGGAATGGTAGTTTGGTGGAGAATGCCAAACTCAGCAAAGAAGGAAGAAGCCTTGGCACTAGAGCCAAGTTCAAAGGCATTGTCTGACCTAATAGTTTGTACATGGAGGTTAAAGTGAGTTTTGACCATTAAAACAAAGGCCTTAATGAGATCAAAGCATTGCTTTTACAAGGAAGTAAGTGTGTCCAAATTACCGTTGAAAAGTCATCCACAATGGTTAGAAAATATTTGAAACCATTATATGTTCTAGTATGATAAGGACCCTATAGATCAATGTGTACTAATTGAAAAGGTTTAGTGGATTTAATAGAACTATCCAAAAAAAGGAGTCTCTATTGTCTGGCTAAAGGACATACAGGACAAATAAATNTACAGGACAAATAAAGGATTGTTTAGAAGACAACTTATCAGATAAGAAGTCAATAGATTTCATTCTATGAAAGGGCATATGTCCTAGTCTTTGATGCCAGAAAAGATCAGTTTTATTAATAGGGCAATCAGGATTACAAGTAGAAATGCAAGCACTATAATTACACAAAGTAACTGATGCCTTATTTAAAATGTTATTTACAACTCATGTAGACTCTGGTAAACTGACTGATCTTTTATTTGTGATGCTATGTACAGATGATGTAAGTGCTGGTAGAGTAGCTGCAGAATCAATGACATAAAGTCCATTTGCTGCTCTACCAATTTTCAATGGCCTCCTCAGAGAAGGGCCTTGTAAATAACAGAAAATTTGGTGAAGAAAGTTGTGCAAGTAAGTTGATCAACTAGTTGAGGCACAAAGATTAAATTGAATTCAAAGAAAGGGACTAAGAGGACTTTTGATATAATCAAATCATCACATAGTTGTAATGAACTAGTGCAATGAACTTTGACCTTATAACCATTTGGAAGTGTGACAAGATAAGGAAAAAGCAAAATTTGGATGTTGTGTAACAAGTGTTTATTAGGTGTCATGTAGTTGGTTGCACCTGAGTCTAGAATCCAGGTGTTTATTTTTAGTTGTGATGCACAGCACAAAGCAAGAGATTAAACAGCAAGACTACAGACCACACCTGCACAAGCAGCCATTGCAGTAGTGTTGCTAGTTGAATCTTGAGAAGGGGAGATGTGAGACTGTTGAAATAAGCTCATGAGATGCTGGTACTATTCCTTGCTGAACCCATGGACATGATTGTTGGTGATATTTTCAGAAAACTGCTGATCCTCTGATGCAGAAGTGTCAACTTGAGCACAAGCAACAGACTTTCTGCCCTTTGTGAACTTGAAATCACTTGAGAACCCATGAAGTTTGTAGCATTTGTCAACAGAATGCCCAGTCTTTTTATAGTATTTGCACACAATAGTTGTCCTTTTGATGTCAAAATTGACTTTCTGAGGAAAGGATTTAGGACCATTAGTGAACTGAGCAGGGGCAGATGTAGATTTCACAGAAAAGGAAGCTGACTCCGAGAGAAATGAACCACCAGATGGTTGAATTTCTCTTTGACTCTCATCATGAAGAAGAATGGAGTAAGCTTTACCAGAGTTGGAACAAGATACATCATAATGATATTGCTTCTAGCATTTGAGTAGGTCTCATTCAACCCTGTGAGGAAATGAATAAGTTTCTGACCATCACTGCATTGTGGCTCAGCCCCACAAGTGCACGCTGGACCAAATGCAACAGTCCTCAACTCATCCCAGAGTTTCCTAAGCCTAGTGTAGTAACTAGCAATATTGGAAGAACCCTGAGATACCCCTGCAATTTCCCTTTGTATTTGATAATACCTACTAGCACTAGATTGTCCATACCTTTCTTCTATATCCCTCCATAGGTCCCTAGCAGTATCACAGTGTAAAACATTGCCTGCGATGTCTTTGGATAAGGAATTGCTTAGCCAAGCAAAGACCATGTCATTACATCTTACCCAGTAATCATAAAGAGGAGAAGTAGGTGAGGGTTGTGGAATTCTACCACTGATCAACTCAGCTTTATTCTTAGCAGACAAGGCAATTAGAACATTTTTTCTCCATGAAGTATATCCCGTCCCTGAAAAGGGAACTGACACTAACAGAACACCAGGATTATCTGATGGATGAACATAGAGAGGATGAGAAGAGTCAATAAGCGTAGGAGGAGACTGAAGGACAGAAGAGGAAGTGCTCGATTCTGTACCCATGGTTTGAAACAACAATTAAGGGCAAAATTTGGGACTTAACACTACAACACGTATAGAACAGGTTACAGAAAAAATTTGAGCTAAAATCAATTACACAAACAGTAGTTTCACAAATCGTTCAATTAGATCACAAAACCCATTTAGCAAGGGATGAACAGATAGTACTGTATCTCCTTCACAATACTCGAAGGAGTAGAGCCTTGGGCTGAAATTATCCTCAATTGACGTCGGAAAAAGCCCAAATTCCCCGAAAAATCGCAAACCAGATCCCATCGAATACAGCGAAAAAACTCAAAATTGAGAAAACTGAACTGATAGGATGAACCGGCTCATCGAGTACGTCAGGAATCGTCGCTCTAATACCATGTTAACTTGCAAGAAGAGATTGAATCTCCATGAATGGAGATGAGAAAACCCTAGGTTCTAGTCGGTGTTAGAGAGAAACTAAGAAACCGTCGGGTAAATAGAAAGAGAGGAAAAATGATGTATATCTTCAATAGACTTCAATCAAGTCTATTAGTATGTATAGTGTAGTCCAATAATCAATAATATCCGGACACGGGTCGGTTCCCAGTATAAGAGAAAGGAAAAGAGGCCCAACTATACAAAGGCCCAATAGAACAGAAATGAAAACTATCCTGGGTTTATGTCCAATAATTTCTTTAGTCTATCAGTAATTTGTAATTATGTAAAGTTCATTTCCTCCTTCTGGTGCTTTTCTAATAAAATCTTATTTACTAAACAGAAACAGAAGAGAGGCTAATAGAAAAATCCACAATTCAGGCTTAAGAGGTCTTGAAATGTCTATAATTTCCATTTTATATGGGAATTAACCACAACCAAAAGTAGTTCTTAAGTTACCATTAATAAGCCATAGGACTGCTACTAGGAAATAACAGCATTTAATATTATAAAGATTGCAATATTTTTGCTTCATTCAAATAAGAACAGTGTTCACTCAGATTTTGTCCATTCCACAGAATGATCTCTACCCTCATCTCAATATTCTCTCTATGAATTCTCCAATTATCACAACTAGGAAATAATATAAGTTGAAACATCAAACATTCAAATTAAGTGAAAGAGAGAAACAAAAGTTGACTTCTCTTCTTTTTGTAAGAGCAATCCAATTCAACTAGGCTTACTTGGGGTTGACTATACGAATAATTTTTTTCTGTTCTGCTTTATTTGGGGGCCAATTTCATTCTAAAAAATACTAAGTAAAACAGAAAAATCAATCAACTATGCTTGCTCACGGTCGACTATATGAATCATGTATATCCATTCTGCTTTATTTGGGGCCAATTTTATTCCAAAATAAAGAATACTAGTCTCTTCGTCCAATTTTATGTATGATGTTTGACTGGGCACAGTTTTTAAGAAAGAACCAAATGCTTTGAAAACAAGCCAAAGATACTCGTGTCCCAATTGATTATGAGAAGTTTAAAGTTAAACTATTTCTAAATATAGAAAGATATTATTCTTTAAGTAAGACTAAAAAGGAAAGAGTATCACATAAATTGAGACAAAGGGACTATATAATAGACCTTTCTATAACAACCATCCTCTGTAACAGTTCACTATAATAACCAAGTTCGCTTTGGAACCAATGTGTCATGTTATGTTATAGTATATGTTATCTGTAACAACAGTTAATTATAGCAGCCAAAAAATATTGGAACAAACGAGGTTGCTATAAATAGGTTTGATTGTATATAATAAACCTCTATATAAAAGTCACCCTCCATAATAGTTCACTATAACAACCAAGTTTGCTTTGGAACCAATTTGTCATGTTATGTTATAGTATTCTCTATAAAAGCAGTTCACTAGAGCAGTGAAAAAATATCGGAACAAACAAAGTTGCATAGAGAGGTTTGATTGTATATAATAGACATCTCTATAACAGTCATCCTCTATAATAGTTAACTATAACAACCAAGTTTGCTTTGGAATCAATTTGTCATGTTATGTTATAGTATATGTTTTCTATAACAGCAGTTCACAAAAAAATCGTAATAAACTAGACTGTTATAAAGAGTTTTGATTGTACATACCTATGAACCAAGGCCATCTAACAGGATTATCAGGAGCTTCTTTGGTCAAATACCTGAATCTATCTGGCATTGTGCTCTCTCCACGAACCTCGTTTTCAGCTATCTCAACACTTTTTCCATTCTCAGCTTTCACAATAAACCTATTTTCCTTACAACAACAACAACAATAACCTAGTGTAATCCCACAAGTGGGGTCTGGGGAGGGTAATATGTACGCAGACCTTACCTCTA